CAGAAATTTCTCACAGATCAAAAATAGTCCTAACCAACTTCTACACTTTTTCTAATCTGTATTTCTAAAACATACATGCAGCTTAAATATGCATTCCATCAAAGTATAAAATCTCTTCTCATTTGAAACATGTTATATTCTTTTTGCCTTTTTGAATAATTTTGAATTAACAAAATATTTTGAATTAACTTCCTTCCAGTATGTCTATCTTTCCAAACTCAGAAACTATTTCTTAAATTCTTCAAACCATCTTCTATTATTTTCCCTCGTATTTCCTTGCCTCATGAACAATATATGATACCATAACTTCAGGTTTTAGCTACTGCCTCTATGTCTTGCTTCTCTTGTGATCCTGAGGGCCATCATATTTTTATATAAAATATATTTTTTGAACCAGTGACTGACAATTCAGGGATAGTTTCTACTCCCACTCTCTGTCCTGTGGCATTGTGCAGGAATTTGCAACAAGTAGTTCTAGGTGAAAAGTATGCCTAAAAATGTCTGAAAGGTATTAATCAGAGGAAGTCTTCATTTTTTCCTGCTTTTTAATATCATCCTAAGATTTTACTGCAATAGTATATGCTTGTGTGTTGCAGTCTTTTCTACTATTGCCCCTAACAGCAAGCTGTTTCTTCTTCCCTGTTGGCATTCACAGTGTAGAGAGTTGCTGTGATAGACGTTCATGGGAGTTTGTTGAGCTGTCAGTGTTGTAAATAATGCTGGTTGCTTATGAGGATTCAGTGAGTGTTTTAGGGCCTGTACTTGTATTCCACTGCCATAACTCAAGGTACCATCATCAAGAATACTTGACAGTTGGGTTTAGTTAGAGGGAAGTCTGATTGTGACCTGAAGAGCACTTGGAAGGCCAAGGATTTTGTCTGTCAAGCTGTTGGGAAAACAATCTGGCTGATGTTTGCACCTGCTTTGCACCTCTGTAACTTCTGCAAGGACAGTGGTGAGGCTGTTCATGCATAATTGGAAGCCGGAGATTTTTAGTGAACAGAGCAACTTAGCCTCCATAAGATGGAACTGAGAGCTTCAGGATCTCATATCATCTCTTCCTTTACTCAAGACTATCTGTTAGCTTCCCAACAGTTTTATGCTGTGCCTGAGGGCATTGGTCTATGGACCTTGTATGCTATTTCAGGAATATGAGAGCACTTTGTTCTGCACAATCCTTACTGGTGATATGAAACTGTAGGGAGTGGCTGGTACACCCGATGGCTGTGCTGCCATTCAGCAGGACTCTTGCTGCAGAGCTGGGCTGAGAGAACCCTACTAAGGTGCAACAAGGGCAGGTGTATGTAGGGTCCTGTGCATCTTGGAAGGAAAAACCCTGCTACCGGCACAGGCTGGGGGCTGACTGCTAGAGAGCAGCTCTGTGGAGAGTGGAGTCTTTGTGGATGACCAGTGAACCATGAGCTGGCAGTGCCCTTGCAGCCAGGAAGGCCAATGGTATCCCAGGGTGCATCAAGGAAGTGTGGCCAGCAGGTTGAGGGAGGTGATCCTGCCCCTCTGCTTGGCCACATCTGGAGTATTGTGTTCAGTTCTGGTCTCCACAGTTCAAGAAAGACAAGGAGCTACTGGAGAGGGTCCAGTGGGGGCCACAAAGATGGTTTGGAGTCTGAAGTATCTCTCTTGTTATGGAGACTGTGGGAGCTGGGCCTGTTTAGTCTGGAGAAGACTTAAAGGGGCCTCATTAATGCACATGAATATCTCAAAGGGGTTGCCAAGACCATGGTGTCAGACTCTTCTTAGTGGTGCCCAGCAGAACAACCAGGAGCAATTCCCATAATCTAAACCACAAGAAATTCTACCTCAACATGTGGAAGAACTTCTTTACACTGAGGGTGGCAGAGCACTGGAACAGGCTGCCCAGGGAGGACGTGGAGCCTCCCTCTCTGGAGACATTCAAAACCCAACTGGACATGTTCTTGTGTAACCTGTTTTAGGTGACTCTGCACCTAAAACAGGCAGCAGGGGGGTGTAATAGCTAATCTTCAGAGTTCCCTTCCAGCCTTGATGTTTCTGTGATTCATGGAAAGCACCCAGTACATCCACATAAGAGTATATTTGTCCACTGGATTTAGTCATCCTGATCTTACCATATTGACAGTTGTAGTTTCTATCTTCTGCTGTTCTCATACTCTTCTCTTTTACTTCTGTTTGTAGCCCAGTGCATTGGCTATATAAAAAGTCTTGAATTAAAGGAGCTAAGATATCCCATACACGCTGTCATTCTTGTCCTGAAGGTTACCTTGCAGATTATTCCCTCTTAAAAAAAATTATCTCTGGGAATTACTCCATCATCTGGACCTTATGTTCTAGGGCTTGACAAATTGTAGGTTAGAGTTCTATCTACTCGGCCTATTCTGCCTGTTCTATCTAAATGCAGATTAATTTTAAATCACTTCACCCGGAAGGGTTAAGGAACATAAAATAGTGTTATTGTCAATGGATTTCAGTGATTTGGGCTTTAGTGATTTGCACTAATTAGAATCCTTATGTGAGTAAGCAGTAAAATGAAAATATTTGTGAACTCCTTATTGTTTAAACATTTTCTCTGAGAATATGTCTAGCTCCAACATGACAAATTATTCTGCTCAAAATTTTCTTATGACACTGTCTGATCCAGTTAGAATCTCTTCAGAGGATGTTAATACATTTATCCCCTAACAATACTCAGGGCAAAAAAAAAAAAAGTAGAAACTTCAACCAGAAACTCATATCTGTGGTTAAATGATGGGATTTGTTCTGGTAACCAAAAGGTTATCCATTCAAAAGTCTCTACTTAGTGATCATGGGATGGCTAATCACCCTAAATCACAGGAATTTAAATTCTGTCAGGTACGGAAAGTGAACTGTCCCCAGCAGTGAGGAGGTATTGACTTTGTGATTCAGGTGTGGTGATCAATTTGAGACTTAGATAAAGTATTGTCTGAACGAGGACTCTATATTCTTTATAATTTGTGTACAGGCCACATTTGAGGTTGAGTCTCCAAATTCCAGAGGATATAATTGCCAAGTGTAGTTAACTGCTTTCAAAAACCTACCAGACACCTCTGTGCATTTAAAAATATCTAAACAGTTTTGCAGTGTTTTCTAAAGAAGCTTATGTGGCTCTAGATGAAGTTGAGGGCAGAGCTGGGAATGGATCCAAGATCATTCAAGGCCTAGTCCAGCACATCAACACAAATCATCTTTCTCCAGAGATTTACTTCAATGGTGTCACAATTTTGTGCTCAATTCATTAATTTTTAAAAACAGGTACTATATACCTGAGAGTGAGTTTAAGATTTAATATCTTATTATTTATTGATGACATTGAAATCTTCATTAAAAACACTAGATGGCCCTGAGTGTGCCCTTAAACTTACTTGAAGACAACATATTTTAATGACTTGGCCTAGCTGCTCCCATTTTCTCCAGTGAGAGAGCAATTTCATATTCCGTATGTCCACAGTATTACTCAAGCATTCCACTGACAACACGTCACTCCACAAACAACCTTTGTAAACAAAACAGCACAGAAGAGATAACTTGTGCACATTCTAAGGCAGAGCAGACATACACAAAGGATATCCATGGAGTTTTTTTTTTTAAATTTGATCACATCATCTTTCTTCAAATGGTGCCAAGTGTTTTGTCTCCCATTTTCATGCTTTTAGAATTAATTAGAATGCCCCTGATAGTCCTTTCAGTATTTTAAACCTTCTAAAAAATATAAATGTACAAGAGTATAGTTTACATTCTTATCATTTTCTCAGGAAAAGCCTTTGTTTAGAGAAAATTGATATAAAATACTGACTGTATACAGTCCATGGTAAGTGTTGCTGAAACTGCAATAAGCATTGCAGATTCATTTATTGCCACAGTAGCAAACTGAGAGCCAGATATTAAAATGAAGAACTTCTGCTGTCAAGGTCAGGTGATAGCCCAGATTCTATTTTTATTAGTTAATCAGTCTGAATGCCTGAAGACATTGTGTCCCTGCAGAATTAAAAATTCTGGACTGAGTTCTCCAGGGTAATGTTTCAGTCCTGTTGCTCCAGGGATAGAGAAAGTTTTACAGTTGGATCTTTCTCATTCTCAAAAGAAAATATGGTAATTCCACAGTATTGGAATTACCTTCTTAGAAAGCGTTAATAAATACCTTAATTAGACTAATTAAATTGTGGAAGGAATAATGTAAAGTTCTGCACAATAAGACATTAAAATCTACCTGAGATTGGGAGAAAATTCTCATTTAGTAAAAGACATACATTGCAAAGGCATCAAATATGGGAAATTTGAGTAGGTTTGTAATGATTATCACAGCTTAATAGAGAGGACACATTCAACCAATCATGGCTTTATTTGAGGTCACATGGTTTTGATATATAAATATTTTAATATATTTTACTAAGTCTATATAAGCTATGTATTATTCTAGGTTACATATTTGGAAGTCCAAAGGAGTAGTATTGTAAAATTTTACATATATACAGTTGAGGAGAGCTTAATAGACTAAGTTGTATGTGGAAGATTTCCTTCAGCATTAAAAGAAGATGTGTTTCATTGTTCATCTCAGATGGAATTGGATTAAGACTTCATTTATCATAAATATCTATTCCCTGCTCCCATGTTCCTCAATATGTCTGTGTCAAAGGAGATATTGCCTGACAATTGCCTCACAATTGCAGAGTCTGAGGCTCCTAGGACCATGTAAAACTTTTTATCAACCTTGACAAAAGCTGCTCACGTTGCTAGCACTTTTTTTCTTTTTCTTTTTTTTTTCCCTCAGATCCTGGCCTGATTAAGAGGGTGGTTTTATCACATATGATTTTGTAGCTAGGTAGAACGGGAAAGTTCCCTTGTGGAGAATGTGAACATTTGATTCTTCTTTCATTCAAAACTCTCCCTTAAATTTTATTCTTTTTGTGGTATGGCTGAACAATAATATTGGTTTGAAAGTGTGCGGATTTCTTTAATACTTCCTTTCTCACCCTTCCTGTTTTCAGATATATTCAAATCTTGAGACCAAGACAACCTGGATATTTTTGCAGCCAACTTTTTAATCAAAAGTAGGATGTTCTGGAATTTCAGTGCACTTCAAGGAATTGCAGAAGCATAGACTGGATAGTGCTGAATTAAAGTGTCAGCTCTATTGTCTTCTGATCAATACGAGGCCTTAAAGAACCCAGAGACACAGACAAAAAAAGAAAAGTGAGTCATTTAAGAGAGCAACATTGTAAATGCAGCAGTCATGATGGTTTGAGTGCAAAGTCTGTGAGTAGAGCTGCAGTAAAAGAAATGGAGGCAAACACAGCCCCAAAATAAATAAAATCTCCAGAAGATGTTGGAGTTTTTTTATTGACTGTGCTATGTACTGTACAAATTAGCAATAAATTATGTTTTCTGGGAATACTAACTATGATATGAAACAGGAAGTAACACTGATGGTTTGATAGATGTGAAACAAATGTTTAGTGAGACAAAGGATAGTAATGAAGTGTAGTAAATTACACTGTTGTTTTAATAGCCTGTCACCAATGAGCTATACTAAGGCCAAAGGAGGTATTTGTGGGTGATTGCTTCATCTTCCCTTTTTTTTAGGGAAGAGAATGTACTTGGATGACTTCTGAACTAAACTTGTCGTTACTTAACTGTAAGCCCTTTCTATGTATCAATAACAAAACTCTCTGTCCTTGACCTTTCTGTATATTTTCCATTTCATGTTTTTGCAGAAAGGGGTAGGAGGGAGTGACAGGAGAGGACAGAAATGGAAGGGGAGGATAACAGTAAAGAAAATGGTGTATTTAACAGATATTGAGAAAACAGATATATTTCCTGTTTGGGCCACTAAATTTAAATATGACTGGACTAGTAAGATACTGTTTTGGACTCTAATATGCTCAAGTCTATGTCTTGACTATTATTTGTCTCTAGGTACATGAAGAACAAAACAGATGTAAATACATTAAATCTCTTGTTTGTAAGTGGCTTAAACTAGCCACCTTTTTAATGGCTGTTCTTGCAGATTGAAATGAACCTTTTTTGGGTTCTGATCCAGCAAGGTCCTGAATTTAATTATTATCTTCAAGCAACAGTCAAGTTCAATGGGTCCATGTTCAAAATTACAGGTATGCCCAAATGAGTGATTGAATGACAACCTCATTAGCAGTATTTTGAAGTGCTTAAGAGCTTGAGTATTTAATGAGTCACATTTTGAATAGCTACATCTTTTAGAATTAAAGAATTTTGTTCCATCTTGCATGTAAAAAAGAAAATAGACTCCTAATACTATGCAAATACACTTTATGATTCATATCTGCAACAATACCAGCAAGGAAAAAAAAGACTGTGTAAAATGAAAGACACAATAAGGTATGTCAGATAAGAGTTTAAAAGCTTTGCTAGTGAGGAAGAACTGAAAATCCTACACTTGAAACCTAATGATAGAATATTGGCTCAAGTGTTGTAATTTCTTTTGCAGCATATTTGTCAAGTGGTTACTAGAAAAAAATGGCTGCTATTCTTCCTAGAATCTGCATTACCTTGGTGCTTTTCTCTGTTCTGCATATAGGACTGTGCTGAATTTTAAGAGATCTGAATTTGGCTGAGGATGAGCAAGCAGCTGTAGCCTTCAACCATTCTTCTCGAGAATTCTACAGGAGGTCTGAGCAAAAGAGAATACCTGATTAATCACCCTGTCCCAAACCAGCCACAGGAATTCATTGCTTCTGGTGTGTCTGGGCTTGACAGATGTCTGCCAGATCATTGTGCATTACTGTTCGAACATCTCGGAAATTTTCAAGATACAGATGTAAGAAGCAACATAAAATGTCAAAGTCACACTTTTTTGTAAGATACAGAATAACCGAGAAAGTGACATGAGACAAGAGCCCTCAAGATGTTAAAATTTTTCTTGAATATTTGACTTTTCCACATGCTCATATCTCAACCGACAGCATGAGACACTGCTTGATATTGGCTACACAGAATAAACTTGCAAAGCATAACAGCAAAGATCCTTATCTGACTTTATGGGACCCAAACCTCATTTTTAAAGAACTGGCTCTGTAGCCTATCTACATCTTGACAAATGGTTAAAATGAACCAGCTGCTGGTTTCAGATACTTCTTTCCATTCTTCAATAAATTGCACAGTTGCTGTTCAGAACCTTTATGCAACCAACTGTATTTTTTAAAGTGTAGACAGAAGACTGGTCTTGATGTGCAGGATGGGTCTGACTTTTGTAATAATGAAGGGATCAAGAGCAGCGGCACCAGTAGCAGCTGAGCCAAGAGGGAGCTCGGCTGAGCCCAAAGGCACACAGGGGAGTGGTAGGAAAATGGCAACCCCACAGCGCTTTTGTTCCCAGTGATAAACACCTTTCTGGGGGTAAAACACCTCCTCTTTTTGTAAGGTTTTGCTGTTAATGTTGCTGTTGTTATTGTGCTTGTCTTATCCTTGCTTTGTGCTTTCAATAAATTGTGAGCCCAACCCATATTATCTGCTTTACTAGAAAGGGCGACAGAAGGGGAGTGGATTATTTGGAGTTTAATTTCTGTCTGATACTAAAACCAGCATGAAATGTCAAGCACCACTATGAGCTCACATGTACTTAGTAGTCTTTCTGTCACATTGGCCAGTGGGTTTAAAGTGAGTAGGACAGAAAGAAATAACTGTTTTTAGTTTTGCCATCTCCAGTGTGAATCTTTTGGAAGGGGAAGAAGACAACTAATTTTAATCTAAATAGCAAATTATTTATTAAAAATTAGATTACTCTCAATGTTAAAAGGCCTAATGAGCATGGATAATTTTTTCCTTAATGCATGTCCTTAGACATATTTGATCCATTCTTTCCCACTCTCCCTTCTTAGACACTACATGGAATAGGTTAAGGCTAGATTAAGAATTTGAAGGAATTCTTTGCTTTCACTAAGAACCCTACAGATTTTGCCATTATTTTTCTTTCCCTTCTATCCCTTTTCTACTTGAACTGAATGTTGGTTTGTAGAGAACTTTTCTATTGTGCTTGATCTATTCTGTGTAATGAATGAATTTATCAGATAGAATATAATTTTAAGTAAGAGAGTCCTGAGCAGTGTTTATTTGGTGAGGGATATTCTTGGGGCAAGAATAGGGCCAGAACTGTTCAAAGAGGAAGCAGTAAGAACTCAGACCCAGTATGCTTTGCAGTTTGAATTTAGATAAATACTGAAACAACTACAAGGAACAGTCAGAAAGACTGCTGTTTTTCCTGGCTGAATAGCTAATCTTCCCAGAAGAGGCAAAATATCATTGATATAGTGATGGCTTCTGATAAAAATGGTTGCATCAGATCTGAAGTTCTGGTAATCCCTTTATTAGCAAGGTGTTTGATGCCTTTGTTTAAAATTGGATATGCCACAGAACCTACATAGCTCTAGCTGCGTATTTTTTACTCTGAAAAAAAATGTATGCACTGCCATACAATGGCAATGAAAACTTTATTTCCAGATGTTCACACATGTAAGTATTTTTCCAAATCACATTCTACTACCTGCATAGTAGAACTGAATTATTATAATAGAGAAAAGTAATTTAAATTCAGAGTCTGAGGCTGTACTTTAATGGCAAAAATCCCTTTGAAAGGGAACCACTAGTCCCTGGCCGTATTAAGGGAACAATTTCTGAGAGAGAACAACTTGGTGGCTGAGTAAATGCCCATGCCAGTAAAAAGTTTATGGAGCTGCTGCTTTGTAATAAAAGTAATGAGCCCTCTGTTGTTATTCTCTGTAAATATCAGATTACATCTAGCAAACTCAATTTATAATTAAAATATAAATTATCAATAGGTAATTTGCTGGTTTGTATTTGGATTTTTTTTTTCTAAAGCTTTCTTATTAGCATTTTCCCCTTAAAATAATTATCATTAAATTTAAAGTCTTTTTTGCAAGCTCAGGATTAACTCCTGTTCAAGCAAGAACTTACATGAATAGTTCTGTTGTTGTTCAGTTTTTTCAGTACAAATGACATATTTTTATCCAAACAGCCTTTGTTTATATTTTCTGTGCTTTTTTCTCAGTTCAACACAGAAATACCTATTTTCAAGGTAGTCAACATTGAAGTGGTGGCTCTTGTTTTGAGAATCCTTCATACTGAACCTCTGGTAAGATCATGGCTTGTTCATGATGGGCAAGTACTGTTTTATGAACAAGATAGTGAGCTGAGCATTTAAGATCTTAGCCAGCAATGTACACGAAGTTCTCTTTATGGCACTCCTTCACCCAGGCACGTGATATTTCAAGCCTGTAATTCAGTACTGAATTTTGGTTAGCCCTGGATTCACATCTGGTTTTGTATATGGGTCTGAGGCCACCTATAGTGTTTAACTTCATTTTCATGTCTGTCTGTATGAGGAATCAAATTCAAGCAGAAGATCTCAAAAGAATGAGGTAAGGTGACCCTCTGATCAGTTTTAATCGTATTTTGACTTAAAAAAAACTGCTGGCATAATTTGTGATGCAAATACTTAACTCCCCATGTCCTTACAAACAAAAGTCCGATTGGCTTCAGTTGCAAAAGAAATGCCGAAGGGTGAGAATCTTTATGTGAATACAGAAAGGTAGGAAAAGAATGCTTCTGGGAGTCTCAAGGATTTTCAGAAACAAGGTATAACAGAAAAACAAAATTTAGGGGGTGAATATTGTAAATGTGTTCTTTTGAGAATTAGGTCATAGCAGGAATGTTTGCTGGGAGGCTCTAAATCTCAGTGTTACTCATCATCTTATGAAAAATTACAGTATTTAAAAAGCCCAGCTGCTTTTTAAAGATAAGTAAGGCCATAAAATCAATTAGTAAATCAAGATAAGTAATGGTAAGCATCATCAGCCTGGCACTTTGTCGGAACTTCAGTTTTTCTTTACCTATGTTTACAGCAGAGACAGTAATCTCAAATTCATACTCTTGATTTAGAAGTAGACATTATGTATCTGTAAAACCCAGAAAGAGCACTTCTGCCCAGGTTGTTTGACTGGGGGAAATGAATCCAAACAAACAGATTAGCATTACACTCCCATGGCAATGAATGTAGTTAATGAATATGACAATAAGCTGAAGCACATCTAATCAAATTGAAATTAAATAATTATTACCAAATGATAGTGTATAACGGCAAATTTTAAATGGAATTACATCAAATATTAATTTAACATAAAACACAAGGGTAATTTCTCTTGGAACATGTCAAAGATTAAGGTTTTCTGTTTTATTATTCACTTTCACAAGAAGAGTGTCAAAATTCAATCACCCTTTTGTTTTATTGATAGCCAGAATTCCATTAGACCTGGCCAGAGGAGAGGGAAGATGAAACATGCCAGCTTTTTATCTCTATGTTCATACTTCTTGCAAGAAAAAGCATAAAATGGGATTCTGGAAACCGTCTTTCTGTCAGGATTCTAGTATGCTTTCTACAGTTTTAGCTGCTAATCTGTAACTGTAGCTATGTTATAGCTACGGTTACAAATTATTGTTTGCATGTTTTGCTATCCTAGGTCGACTGCACTGGTACATACAGAAGTTTTGCCCATCATTTGCACAATTCTCTCCTGACAAATTCAGCATTTCATTGGGAAGAACAAGAATTCGAATCCTGATATAATCAGACTGTTCAGGTAAAAATCTTTTTCACCTCTGGTGCCTTTCTTCTGATAGCAGCACTGAACCAGTCATTTCTGATGTACTAGGGACAAGAATAGATATGTTAGCAATGCTGCTGAGGGTCAGTGTAGTCAAAGAATTTAGTGCTCTAATACTCTTGAGCACTTGTTTTACAGTATATCATAGTTTTAGGATACGTCAGTCTTCTCTATGACATCAAAGCTTTAACTGATTGCTTGTATTCTCTTTAGATGGTTAAAATGGAACTAAAACAATTTTGCAGTTTGGACTATGTAGTATGTTGTACAGTTTTATCAATATTATCTTTGCCCAAGATATCAAGATACCAAGTCTCACCAAATGCCTTTATAAAGATTTCCATGTAAATGTCAGTTTTATATACAGGTACACAAAGTCACAGGGCTTATCTTAATCATAAACCCCATCCCTTGATATCAGAGAGGTTTTCTATTCTCTCTTTTTTTTTGGTATGTTTGGCAATCTTTGTAATTAGATGTTTTAGCTAGTAGGATACAGTGCCACATGAAGTGGAATCTTCTGAAATGCAGACAAATATAAGGATCCAATGACCCAGAAACACCTGAAGACAAAGTGCTTTAATGGGTATATATCACATAGTGACAGTACAGTAACATTTCATCAAGTTGAGGGTTTTTTTGGTGTTTTTTTTTTTTTTTTTTTTTTTTTTGTTTTTTTTTTTTTTGTTTGTTTGTTTGTTTTGTAATTTTTGTATTTGGTGACCATGTTGTGATAGAGAGTGAGCAATAGAACCATGAGAGGGGAATACTGGTGATTTGGTACAGCCCTGCCTCTGGCTCTGCAACACTGACATCACACAATGGGCCAAAGGAAAGAATACATTCGAAAGCTTTTTTTGTCTGCTCTATATCTCTTACCCCTTACTTAGTATTAGATTTATTTTTACTTACACATCCATATTTACTAGATGCAGAAGAGTGATTGGATGATTATTTATTTAAGAACTGAAAATATTTTCTATATGTGATTTCTAGAAGAGTGTTTAAAGGATTTTCAGGCTTAAAACAAATTTAAATTTCTAATCTTCACATCACTGCACAATCAAATATATGAATACATAATTACTGAATCTTGGATATACTTTTCTGTATGTATCTATACAGTGTTACAAGAGAAGCATCAACTCCGTGGGTTGCTTTCACATGATTTGGACAGAGATACTTGAAAGTCAGATTTCTTTGTGCCTAGCAAGAACACTTATGTATGTTAAAGAAACAACAGCTGTATATAGCTCATCTAAAAGATTATGAATAAATAAAAACTGATATTTTTCATCTCTCATATAATCTCCAAATGAATAATCAAGAACAATGTAAAGCAAAGGGCAGTGGGTGAAATTCTTAAACATCTTAAGTCACTGGGAATTGTATTATTGACTTTAATGGAACCAATACTTTAACTTATACATTGAAGTTCCAACCCTTATGAAAATGCCACAGGTCATTAATCATAACCATGTAGGTTTACCCTAGTACAAAACTGTACATTAACTTCTGATATGAAAAATTATTGTTTTATTTGTACCTTTGGGAGGGTGTGGTGACAGTACTCACAAAAAAGTTAAATTAAAATGGGGTTTCTTATTCAGGATGGAAAATACACGGTGATTGCAGCAAAAAGTACTTCTTTTTTTGCTTTCTTGGAGAAATACAATTATGAACCACAGCCTAAGCCTGAAGCTAAAAACATTAGCTTAATTTCTTCATATGTCCTACAGCTCTTATATCAGGAGCCATTAGTTTAAGGTTAAAACACATACAGTGCTAGTTATGAAATTAATATGGATTATTTGAAACAGAAAGGTTATTTAAATTACCACTGTTCACAAATATGTTAAATCTTTAAACTGAAAGTATGTACGTTTTCAAAAGAACT